GAGCCGGGTCCTCTGCATACTGTCAGGAGCCGGGTGCTCTGCATACTGTCAGGAGCCGGGTGCTCTGCATACTGTCAGGAGCCGGGTGCTCTGCATACTGTCAGGAGCCGAGTCCTCTGCATACTGTCATGCCCTTCTTTTTAAGTAAACACCATGTACCAGTGCAGTGATGGCAGATCCGTGCTCGGGTCATGAAAAACGTCTGTCCATGAAAAACCTGCATGTTAAAAAAGACAGCCATTTTATTGTGAACCTGTCACAGAGACAGTCATTGTTACACGGGAAACAGATAATATCCTGCAATGTGTGGCACATCTCAGGACAACAAAATCTCAGCAAAAAGCTTCACTTCCTGTCCCCAAAAGGGTGGGGGAACTTGCACGGTGACTGCTGTGAGTCTGGGTGGGGTCTTTTCCTCCACTGTGATGTTATTCGTCCCAAAGTCAGGAGCAACCACACTGATAGATATGTCTGCTAATACTGCACTGCTTAATTAACCTGGTGAGACTGTGACAGATGTGCAAATGGTCCATATATCACGTTAAGAAAAACGAGTGCATGACCTCATTACAGAAAGCATTAAATGTGCATAAGCGTGTTAGCATCCCAGTGACAGAGCAGTACTTCTCAGACTCAGGGGACCCATTTCCAGGTGACACCCAAAGCACTAACTCTGCAAGATAAAAAAGCTGAAAATCAAATTAGGCATCTTTCTTTTCAAATTTTCTTATTCTTCAAGAGCAGACAAACATTATTATAATGCCCAGCAATAGCACAGATGCTTTATTTTCAGCTCCCTGCGTTTCCTTTTTGATCAATCGATGGGAATTTGAAACCTTGAGGTTTTGCATCATGCACCTTGAACCAAATACCTGCTAAGATTCAGCAAACGATTAATAAAATCAACCATTAAAGCAGGGGGCCCAGAGATAAAAATTTTGCACTGACAAATGCTTTTTTGCAGATTCTGGATAATACAAAATACATGTAAAAACACACACACACACACAC